GCGGAAGGGGGCCGGGTCGAAGACTGAGGCCGAGCCCGGGGAAATGCTGGAGTGCCGGGAGGAGAGTCAGGAGTGGATGGAGGGGCTGGGAGGGCCGATGGAGGAGGAGGAAGGATCTCGGGCACGGTCGGTGGGTGCGGCCGTGGGGGCAGAAGCTCGCCTCCACGGCGCGTCTCCCCGGAGGGAAACGCCCGGGGTCGAGGACTCCCTCGGGCAAGGAGCGGGATCTCTCGACAGGGAGGAAAGGAGAGGGACGGATCCGTCGGCAGCCCTTCCCTCCCCCTCCGCTTCCTCGGCCTTTGCCTCCCGCCTGCTGCTCCGGCAGGAGGTGGCCGTGCTCGAGACGTTGGATGCGGCCTTGGACAAGATACGGGAAATGGTGGAGATGGCTCGCGACGCGGAATGGAAACAGGAGGGCAGGGGTGGGTGGGAAGGGGAGAGTGAAAGGGGGACAGAGGATGAAGGGTCCTTGAGACAGGGGGCGGGGGGCCGTGAAGGAGGAGTGGGAGAGACGGCTCCGAGCCTATGCACCTATGCCTATGCTAGGCGAATGTGAACTGCAGGTGAAACTGCAGGTGTACATCAAACGATATAGTTCAATGAACAGAGTCCGGTAGTGGCCTTTCTATTGCCTCTTCGCAAATGTATGATTTTTGAGGAGCCTCATGCCAGATTGTGAGGGTGGGTATCAATACTGTATGCTATCAACCCTGGGTCATCTTCTTCCGTTTTTATTCTTCTCTGCCATGCCTCTTGTTTCTCCTGTTTCCCAATCTGCCCCTTTCACAGCCCATCATAATCCCCCTATTTCTTTGCGCTAGGTCGGTAGTCAAGGATGAAGGGCTTTTTTCGCTTTGCCGTAATAAAAGCCGTGAGCTCTAGCTGCTTCCCTCTTTTATTTTCTACGACGCCCTCTTGTTCTGCCCCAACACGAGATGTTATATCAAGTCCATGGCGTCCTCTACCAGCGTATCAAACATTATTTCAACGTCATAACACGTTTTCCTTGATGTCCCACAGGCTTGCTTCTGATTATTTGAACTGATCGGCAACCTCCTGGCTCCGGCCCTAAATAAGTGCAGACTGCCGCTGAAGGTCGCTTGCAGGAGATGACATGTTTTGTCAAACAGTGTTGGGTAATATCAGGAATTTAATTGACACGTGTGCATTGCGAAGTCGTGTCGTACACCTTTTTGGAATCCTCCAATCCAATCTTTGACATGTTCTACGAGAACCCCAGGGGCCTCGCCCCGGGCAACGGACATGACTTTGGCGACTCGTCGACTAGAAGCCAAGCCTCCCTCGGGCTTTCTCGCTGAGAGGAGGAAATGCGAAAGACAAGGTGGCGCCTCATGTTTGACACGACGTTGGGCCCTCCACAATCCACAGATACGCCATGATAGCCTGCATAGCTGTGGTAGGGAAGAAGAACGAGCTCCTTTACCTCAAGCCATTCCTTGCTCAACCCGACGCAAGCAGCGACTATTTTCTCAGTTTCCATTTCATTGCCCACAGTGCCCTCGACGCCTTTGACGAGCGCAGCAAATCCGTCTCACGGCGACCTTCTCCTTCCTTTCCGTCGCCTGCATCCACCAATGACATGTTTTTGGGATATTTATGTCCGATCGAGGAATTTCGGGTCTACGGGTACAAAACAAGCACCCAGATCAAATTCCTGGCTATCCTCACGGAAAACAATCCTGTGCGTGAAAACGACCTGAAAAGTGTCTTTCAAGGACTGCACATCTTGTATGTCAGCTACTTGCAATCTCCCTTCTCACCCTTGACCGGTAAAATTACCTCGGAACGCTTTTCAAAAGGAGTGGAACGGCAGGTGGTTGTGTACAATCAAAGTATAAGCTCCAACTCCGCCCATGAAGGAGGGGGCGGTCTGGCAACGTTATCTTCATCGAGGCTTTTACCATCGACCTCTTCAATAAGTGCCTCCTTTTCTAGCTCGCTAACATCAGGCACATGAATATTTGTAAAAAGCTCTTAGGGTGTGCCGGGAAAAAAAAATATTGGACAACCACTATCGTAGCAGGGATCGGGATATTTGGCAGGATTTTGCATGTTGTATCGGCTCGTTGTCATATTTTTTTTACAACGCATTTCACAGTGATTCATTGAAATTTCTAAATCCTCTCAACATGCTCTCCTCCCAAAAGACTTGGGAGCGAGGTCGCTGGGACTATTCACGCCCCATGTCCCTCACGCCAGTATGTCAAAGAGCGCCGCACCTCCCCCCGGAGTCCTGGACTGAAGAAAAGCGTAGGCCTTTCGGACTCGGTTCAAGGAAGTCAGCTGTTGTTCCACGGTCAACCGCCCAGGCCCACCCAGCAGGTCGCTCATATCCTCCATCAGGGCCCGTCGCACGCCCTTCTCCAGCCGGGGGGCGTTGACCCGTAGAATGTTCTGGAAATCTGCCACCAACAGCACCACTTCTCCCAGCCGACGGTCGTCCAACACGGTAGTTTTCGCACCGAGGGAGGACGGGAGGGAAGGAGTGACGGAGGGAGGGAGTCGTGGTGCGAGTATAAGGAGCCTCTCCAAATCACGCAGGGTGCGCCGGAGGGAGGCATGCACCCCCGATATGTTGCTGATCCGACGTGAAGCAAGAGCACCGAACAAGTAGAGTGACATGCGGTATGCGCAGTAGGTGAGGAGAAGCGCGGGAACGACGGCGAAGGCTTGTAGGTTCACCTTGTTCGCGTTGTAGAGGTCGTCGATGGCCTCCATGGCCACCAATAGCTGGGAAGAAGACAGGAGCGGGAGCGGAAAAGGGGATTGAAAAGGAAGGGAAAGGCGAAGTGATGAGCGTACAGGCAGTTGTGTCGCTGTCCTGCTTTACAGTCGACTCCAGCATGATTTCTAGCCCCGAAGTCCCGAGAAGAATCGTTGCAATCACCATGCACACACACCGCTACACAAGCGACGCCCTTCCTCCTCCCCAGTCCAAGTCTACTGCAGGGCACTTACCTCCTTCTTCACGTACTGCATCTGGATCAAAAGCATCCGCACGATCTTCCCACTGAACACGTTCCGTACCGCGTGCCGGATCTCCTTGTCGTACTGCGCCGAGACCAAGGAGATATCCATCGCCTCCAAGGCTGCCTTTTTGGTCGCGGGGTCAATGTGGGGGTAGGTGTCGTCGATGAAATCGCTCAGCATCCTCCGCAAGCTGGCTTGGGCGTCCGTGATGGCCCCTTCGTCCGTCAATCGCTGCCGCTTGTTCAGGATCAAATCCTCCAGGATGGCTTTCCCGGGCTCCAAGAACCGGTAGGCCAAGAACTCCTCCGTGTTCTTCTTGGTCAGGGCGGCGGTGGCCTGGATACTTTCCCGACGCGACCAGAGCTCCGCCGTCGTCC